CAATGATAGAGGCATGTTCAAGCATTATATTCATAAGGACATGCTTAGAAAGATCCTTTGTTAAATATATTGTTTTCTATCCTATCTGTGAAAAAGTAAAACTGTTTTGTTGAGGTCAGTAGTGATACCTAACAAAGGGTCTTCCTAGACATGTCTTTATGGATTTAAAGCTTGTACATACCTCTATTACTACTAAAACAATCACCCCGTTTGGTCAAGCCCTAATGGATATATTCAATGTTTTGTCGGGTGCGTGACTTTTGGGCCACCCTGTAAATAGTTATTCCTTCGACATATCCCTTCCTTAACTCAAGAATCCACCTCGGAATTTTGAGAAACCGACTGGAGATTCGGATTCCCCGATCCCGATTTACTTTCGTCAACCTTTATACAAAATCGTTATTTTCTCGAAATACCTCTTCCTTAGCCCAAAAATCCACTTCAAAATTTTGAGAAACTATTTGTAGATTCGGATTCCTCGACCCCGATTTACTTTCGTCAACCTTTATAGAAAATCGTTATTTCCCGAAAATACCTCTTCCTTAGCCCAAACTCTACTTCAAAATTTTGAGAAACCGATTGCAGATTCGGATTCCCCGACCCCGATTTACTTTCGTCAACCTTTATTGTAAATAGTTATTTTCCCGAAAATCCCGCTCCCTTACAATGAAGTACTTTAAAGTACATGAAGTACATTAAAGTACTTTAAAGTACCTTAAAGTACATTAAAGTACGAAAGTATAAAAGTACGATGTTTCCCCCTTGACTTGAGGACTTAAGGGTACTCTCTAATATAGGGCTTGAAGGCCTAAGCGTGCTCTCCTAATACAGGACTTGAGGACCTTAGGGTATCCTCCTAATATGGGACTTGAAGACCTAAGGGTACTCTCTAATATAGGACTTGAAGATCTAAGGGTACCCTCCTAATGCAGGACTTGAGGACTTAAGGGTATCCTCCTAATATGATTATTTAAGACTATGTCAACATATCTACTTTAACTTTAATTGGTTAAGTTAAAGTTTAAAGTGATACTTTAAACTTTAAAAGTTAAAGTTTAAAGTATTACTTTAAACTCTATACTTTCTTAAAGTGATTTTAAAGTTAAAGTAACACCCCTAGCCGTACATCAACAACATCTGTCAATCTGCAGGAGAAAGATGCAATTTTCACTCTATATACTTCAACACTGCTTTTAGGACGCGTTTCACAAAAAAAACCTAAAGTAAAAATCAAAAAAATTATTAATAATTAACGAGAGGAAGCGCCCTATAATGGTCGTCGATTTCGACTAGATTGTTCTAGCTACTAATGTACAAATGAAAATACTAACTGATTCATATCTATGATATGTTTCTATATATATAATAATGTCCAATGAATCGATGAAACGTCGACAATGAAGATGATAAATAAATAAACAAAGAAGTTTGAGTCTATTGTTAATATTATTATTTCTAGAGACCTACTTGCAACTGTATGAGCAAATTTTTGTAGCTGAAAATTAGGGGCATCACTATTTTTTTCCTCATTAAGCAGGAAAAAGAACAAACTCAGGAGTTCAAAATAACAGCAGATAGATTAGAAATGTCAGATCACATGTTGCTGTGATTTCGAGGGCTTTCAATGGCATAATTTTTACAAATCAAAATGAAAAATGTGATCGTGTACAATGTTGGAATAATTGGTTGCGCCATTAGTGTACGTATTTCATTTGTTCAAAAATGAAAACATGTATTCTCAATGGCACTGCCAAATTGAAGAAAATAATGGCCTGTATAAACTTGTCAAGCTTTCCAAGCTCAAAATCATAGAAACAAATCCATATTCTTGTGATTCTATGGTAGAAGCAATTCTACTTTGAATTCTAAGTTTTTCAAGATCTGATTTTGATTCCGTCGGAGTTATCAAGTTGACGAGCGCGCACATTATTCTCCTTTGACTTCAGAATAAATTACATCGACAATACATTTTTACACAAGATTTCATTTGAATTTTAAAACGAATTGTGCTGCTGTCAAAGTTTCATGCTTAAAGTCAAGCCGTACAGTATCTATATGATGTCGAAGTAAAATCGATTGGAACTTGTAGTACCAGAGCCACCTAGATTCAACCAGAATGAAACTGTATATTTACTACCGACTGATGCTGAAAATGATTGACCTAGAAAATCGATGCCCGAACTGGCCGTGCAGCTATCTGCAAAGCAATTGCCAGTCGACAAATAGCAGCTGCTGCCGGAAGTGATGTTTCCTGAAGATGCGCCGCACGTACTCGTACAAAACTGTTCCCAGCCTGTTGGTGTGGCTGAAGAGTTCTCGAAGCCACCATTTCGTAGCAGTTCAGTATTTGACGCATTAATAAGCACCACAGATACTTTGTCTAGATAGTACAGACGATTATTTTCATTCTGAAACCCAAAAAGTAGCATGGGTGCTGTACTAGTTGCTGTGTAGTTAAATCGATACTGGGTCCACCCATTGGGATTATTTCCCGACTCACTTGAAACATTTCCATGTCCGGTTGATGAACAATTAAGCGCTATGAAATTTTAAACAGTCAAGAACAGATGTACAGTCATGTTTACATACCCCTCTGAGTGGTCGTTGTTGTCGTGGTTGTAGTTGATGTTGTTGTTGTCGTTGTTGATGTACTGCTGGTAGTCGACGTTGTGCTTGTTGACGTCGTTGTAGTTGTGGTCGATGTGGTGGTGGATGCTGTTGTTGTTGTCGTCGACGTTATACTGGTAGTCGAACTAGAACTAGTTGATGATGTCGTAGTTGTTTCCGATGTAGTGCTGGATGTTGTTGTTGTTGTTTCCGAAGTAGTGCTGGTAGTCGAACTAGTGCTAGTTGATGTTGTTGTAGTTGTCTCTGAAGTAGTGCTGGTAGTTGAAGTAGAGCTGGTGCTGGATGTTGTTGTTGTTGTGTCGGACGTTGTACTGGTAGTCGAACTAGTGCTAGTTGAAGTAGTTGTTGTTGTTTCCGATGTGGTAGTGGATGTTGTTGTAGTTGTTTCCGAAGTAGTGCTGGTAGTCGAACTAGTGCTAGTTGATGTCGTTGTAGTTGTCTCAGAAGTAGTGCTGGTAGTTGAAGTGGAGCTTGTGCTGGATGTTGTTGTTGTCGTTTCCGAAGTAGTGCTGGTAGTTGAAGTAGAGCTTGTGCTGGATGTTGTTGTAGTTGTCTCAGAAGTAGTGCTGGTAGTTGAAGTGGAGCTGGTGCTGGATGTTGTTGTTGTTGTTTCTGACGTTGTACTGGTAGTCGAACTAGTGCTAGTTGATGTTGTTGTTGTCGTTTCCGACGTTGTACTGGTAGTCGAACTAGTGCTAGTTGATGTCGTTGTAGTTGTCTCAGAAGTAGTGCTGGTAGTTGAAGTGGAGCTTGTGCTGGATGTTGTTGTTGTCGTTTCCGAAGTAGTGCTGGTAGTTG